CGTTTCGGTAGTTCGAATGATAACTTTCGATAGCACTTTCGACTAATAGTTTAAAGGCATGCCCCAGGATCACATTGGTGTGGCTCTTGCACACGAATGCGAATGTATTGGTGCGAAATGGGCCGGCAGTAAAGAAAAAAGGAAAAGAATCCGTCGAAAACGCTAGGTTAAGGGCTCACTCACCTTCCTAATCGGCTGTGCTAAGGGAATGAGAGACTAAGCGCGGAGAGGAGAGTATGAGGCGAGAGAGCGCTACAGATGAGAGAGCGCCAGACAACAGCCTGATAAGAGAAAAAATCTGCAGCTTAGCAGCTTACTTTGCAAGGCCCAAGCGCTCTTGTCGGTTGGTTTCCGTGCACGGGAACGCCACATTTGTGATTGTCCTCTAGGGGTCTATACTACAGACCGAAGAGAAGCGTTCACACGACCTCTGCCTGGGTTGTGCCTTTAAGAGCTGCCACGAACGCCGCAGATGTGCTACTTCAATTTCGGGTTCGTAAGTCCGCAGCAAAGGTGCTGAAAGCTGCCCACGCTTGTAACAAACCCCTTGGCTACAACAGCGCTTGCAGCAGCTTCCCTGTTCGTCCCTGCTCATCCTTCAAGGCCCCGTCTGGATCATTTCCCCTCACCTATTCCATACTTTATCCTGGTGAAGCTGAGGACAAGTAGTGATGTGGTGCCGCTTTTCGCGTTTTGAAAGTGCCCACAAAGACGCCTGAAACTTTCTCTCAACCGGCATTGCACCCATCGGCTTGTCGACAGCAGTGTTGGCGCCACCTAAAAAAGCGCGGTCGCATTTCTGGCAGCGTTAGCCTTGCGGCTAAGTGCCGCACATTTCTATTCCTTCCATGAGGGGTCATTCCTTATTTGGGAGAATTGGTTGTAGCGACTTACTGCAAAGTAGGGGGTATCACTCACAGTGAGTTCAAGAAGAAGAGATCGAAATGAAAGAAAGAACTGAAGAAAAATAGGAAAAAAGTGTAGGTCAACTATCTGAGCTGAACTTCTACAACCACATCGATTACTTATAAGGAGCCAACAACTACTATACTTCGGGGAACTCGTCCAAACGCGCACAGCCACTACACTAATCTCGTCCACGGATGTTGGAGAGGGCCTTCCTACCCACGACTTCGGAAGTTTCTTTAAACTATTTCCAAGATCCAAAACTCCAGCCTAAATAGGCTTACCCCCCTTGTCATTCTTCAACCACAAGTTTTGCCTATAATGCTCTCCCTCACTTTATGAGTCTGTTCTTCACTCTCTATGCTCTGGGGGTCAATACTCGCCGCCGAAAAAGAGGAAGTCCTCGTTCATTGTTAACGGTGACTTTCCCTTCTCTTCTCTCACTAGTCGTATCTCAAGATTCATATTCGAATAACTAATGCAAAAATGTGATCGTAGAATGTGCCTTCAAGAAAATAAATAGTACAAAAACTGCAGTAAACAGTAAAACACTCACTTTGACTGAACTTCACTCATGATTCTCTCCTCCATTATGCTATTCTTGAGAGCAAAATCACGTAATGTCCGTAAAGTGAATCGTCGATGATCAGCCCAGAATTCTCCGCTTGAAAACACTGTGCCTCTTCCCTCTAAAAATCAAGCTGAAGGTGAGCCAAACAGTGGTGCTCTAGTAGATACCCGTACCTCGCCTCACATCAATCATATACGGCGCATAACGATCGACGTAAGCAGCACCATTAGTGAGCATTTCTTCCTTCGCTGTTTCAAAGTCCAATATATGAACAGTTGGTAATGGTCCCAACCAGATCGTGATGACATTACCGTATTCCTTAAATGGGCTTGATAGAGTGGTAATTAAAGCTTTTTATAGTACATGTTACCACATGCTATATGAAATCTTTAAAAAACAAAGAAATAAGAGGAAAAAGTTATACGACATGATAACGAGTGATACAGCAGATGATAATTAACGAACCTTTTGCCAAATTTTCATAAGGTCAATGATTCCTTGATGATTCATCTTTCCCTAACATAAGCTGATGAAGATTTCCAACCAGAGGCAATGGAAACGGACCTTGAATTGAAGAAAATTCTCGAAGAGCTGTTACTATTCGGGGAATCGGGTTGGTTAGCAGCTCTGTGCGTATACATTTCGTATTATAATATACGTATATGTAGATAGAGAAACTGCTAGCTATAGGGGGGGAGGGAGGGGATTTCTTCGAATTTTTTGTAAGCGAAATGGTCTGCGAGATTTCCAGAGCTTTTCTATTGGAATTACATTGTCTGTTTGGAGGATGTTGAAGTAGTCTTCGTGACATGCTAGAAACCATTCTCTTCAGTGGCCCTCTGAGCTAGTTTCCAACAACTGGGTTAACTGAGGTTTAATGACGGTGTTTTGTGACTTTAAGGCCAATTGCATTTCGATTTATAACATTTTTCCTTGGCTTAATTTAAGACCGATACGCAATTGTCATAAGTATTACCTGGTGGATATCGACGAACTTTCCTTATCCATTCATATGCAAGGACGACAATTAGTACAGCTACAACAGCAAGCACCCACATCAGTCCTCTGAAAACTTTGATGGAAATGACAGGAATCCTTCAAAAAGTTCTGTTCTATGCAAAGTCCCAACTATACATGAATATGATGGGAAGACTTCCTGACGTTTGCGGTAAATCTACCACACACAAGTATTTTTTTCTCCCGAGATCTTAAAGACACGTGTCCCTATAGAATTTGTGTGTAGGTTGTTCAGAAAATGAACAAGAAGTACGAAGAGGGACGTGATTGGTGAAGAAATCAAAAAGTACCACATAGAAAACACTGAAATTTTTCTCATGGAATCGACCGAGGTACGATAGAGAGACACAGCGCTGACTGGAGAGAAAATGTGAGAGAGCACGTTGCACACGAGAGGGCGCAGACTCACGTACGACTGACAGGAATGGCAGCGGCCGCAGCGGTCACGCAAAGGCAATGGCTTCGCTTTTGAGTCGTGACGATATCACCCCGCCTGTTATTGGGTGTCCCGCTACCTCACCCAAACAAGGGAATTCATTCGAGGATTTCCTCGCTCGCCATCTGTGCCTTTAATCCTTCAGGTTAGAGAACGACAGTGAAGAGGAATTCCACTGCTGATCTCCAAGCGAAATCCGCAGATCATTTTGTCTCAATTTTAAAGGCGATACACTCGTGTTCGTCCATCATTTTTTTAACTCAAAAGACAAAATTTTACGATAAAAACAACTGAGCAGAACGATAAACCACGAATAAACAACAAGGTAAACAACGCACACATTAACTGACAGAGCTCCTTTTGCCAAGTAGTTCCATCTACGAACGGAATTATCTGCGGGTTTTAAGATTAAGGTTCTTTATTTGAGTTAGAAATAAGGAGTAACTTGGGGGGTGGGAGTATGAGCGAACATATGAAAATAATGAAATCGTTCCAACTTGACTGACTCTCAATACAAACACTACAAACTATGCCAACAGACTACATGTTCAGAAGAGAAAGTGATTGTGATTGTTTTCAATCAACCATGGAAATTGTCAGTGCGTTACTGTTTTTCAGGTTATCAGTTGTTGTCGACATTCTTATGGTCTTTTCAGACCGGATTTTTTGTTCAGAAGAGATCATCGTTCTTAACTAACTCATCAAGTTGTAAACTGCTTCATACGAAGGTTCATTTGATTGCTTTCATGTACGATTCTCCTATCACACAGTTCGAAATTGCGACAATGAAAGCGTGACTGACCTGAATTGGTAGGAATAGGAAAAGAATTGAAGCTCTTATCAGCGCTATTGAACACCACTGGCTCGATCTCTGCCCTGACTGGAACCAGTCTCGAGCTGTGAAAATGCTGATGCAACCAGCGTCATAGCCATGGCCAGCGCTAAAAGGCTGACGAAGGCACAGAACCATGGCCAAAAGTCCTAAAAGGAGTGGTAATAAAGATGGATCGCTGTCAGAAGATGGTTAATGGAGAAACGAAATCCTTTCGAGTTCGGGTTCGGGCAACAAATCTGGTCCGTATCGGGGCTGTTTACCTCAGAACGCTGACAGAAGGGCGCTGAGGACATTTGCGACTGTGATGGAGCTGTGATGGCTGATGACTGCTACGTCTAGGTACGCTAGGAATGAGCCTGAAAGCTCGACGGAACTCTGACAGCGATTCACTAGTAAGTGAATGCGCATGGGTAAATAAAGCAGCAACCTATTCAAAAATGACCTGACTCGAAGCCATTGCGAAGGAACGTTCTCAAAGTTCCATAATTTGAATGGGTAAGAATACGTGGCGTATTCCGAAAAACTGAGTAACGTAGGTAGGTATCTAAGCTTTTGAATACGAGGCGGTACATGTCGTATTCCAAAACAAACTGACCATGTTAGGTAACCCTGCCCTTGAACAAGTCTTCATGACTACACTCATCTCAGTAGACCTCAAATAAATCAAAATCAGTCTTCTAGTATAGCATTTGGAATTTATAAGTAACTGTAAAATACCAAATGCAGGACCTACATTTGCGAGCACCGTTTTGCAGCACAAGTCTTATTAGCACTGCAATTTCCAGAGGAACGTCAACACATAGCTCATCCGGAAAACGAGTACAGACTTCCTCGTTCGTCACCTGATGTTCAACCACGTGTTCCAATACTCCGTGCTACTTTGAGGATCTCCGAGGTCAAGGCTGCGCCATCGATCATAGCGCCCAGAAAATCTGTGTCGGTCTTGTTCGGCGTCTCAATCGACCGCAATTTCACGTCGTAGTTCCTTTCTCGTCTAATTCTAATTGTAAAAATCTCACTTCTCTGTCAATTACCTTTGAACGTCACGAATATTGTACTTCCACAAATATACTCATTCACTGAACACCATTCAACAGACACTTTCTGAGGAATTTTTGCCTTCGAACACACCTACAAGGCTTTTCGATGAACAAATCACGAACACCATTTCGATTTCTTTCCATCGCACCATCTCTGGAGAGAGGCCCATTCCGCGATTACATAAGTGTGGTTCATTAGGCTCGAAGACAAAAGTTAGGTTGCACAATATTTAGACCACTTCTTAGAAGAATAAAAAAGAAAACATTGAAAAGTGAGGCTTCCCTTTTGGATAGTGGGCGAGTTCATGAGACAAACAGAGGCATGCGGCCTATGGCCGATGCCAGACTTTGCGAATCCAGTGACTCTCAACAGCGGTGGAGCCACGTTTCAAAAGGAAGTCCTGCCAGTTCAAACAGTGTCTAGGTACATCGCCTCGCATCGCTTGGCCATAGCATCGACATCGCTGGTTGCAACGCTCGCTCGTCCGCTGATCGCAAATCTCCAACCCCCACTCACATCGCTCATGAGACGCAATCGAGCTAAAGCTAACAAGAACCTCGGGACACTTCTACGAGTGTCAGGACGCCGAGGAGACGCATACCAACGACGCCTTCATACATTTTGATGCCCACAATGCAGCATATCAGTTCCGTTTTATATCACTTTCACGATCACACCTTCTCAGAACATTCTATCCGATCTGCTGTTGAAGCATAAACAGCAGTTTCTAATATTTTCATTTCGGAAAGTTACTCTACGAATTAAAAGGATTAAAAGGATAAAGCTTTTGCCGTTGATCAATCCCGTCTTGGGATGCGGCACGCATTCTACTTCCATTTGTACATTCGTAGTGGCGTTTGAATGCGATGTGGCCTATACAATGACTTGCGGGCCAGCCGACCTCCCAGACAAGTCTGGTACCAATTAACCGACCCCGGAGGGATGGAAGGCTTGGTTGGCCCGGGCGACTCACGACCCAGGATTTGATCCCCGGACCGCTCGCGTGGTAAGCGTGCCACTTGCCACTACACCACTTCCGCCCTTCTCAGAATAAATCCTTGATAAATTGATCGTCACTCGCCACTATACTACCGAATAGTTTTTTTTTTACATTTATTTATGCTCATTTCCGATTTGCAATGACGAAAGCAGCATGAGTTCGATGATGGAGAAGCTGAGACGCCTTCGACAGTCCGTGTCTACGATTCAGCCAAGAGTATTCGTCGAAACGACTGTACGACTTGCCTTGGCTAGCATCGTTAATTTCTATCTATCGAGATTTATTTTCAGCTATAAACTCATACCGACTTTGGAAAATGTGAGTGACTATACGTATCTTATCTAGCTAGTACGCTACCAGTACGCTACCTAAGTACGCTACTCTAGGATCGCTTGCTCAAGGCAGAGTTCATAGTTTGCGATCGTATGCGCGATTAGGCGGGGACACAAAAAGAAAAGTATTTGTATCGACCAGGCGATTAGGCAAGTAGGCGACCGGTCAACGGACGTAGCATGCTAATCGCTAAGTATGCAGTCTATCGCCTAAGCGCTTAATCGGGAACTATGGACACCGACTGACTCTTGTATAGTCCAGTAGTCGGTGGTAGGCATTCATTTCATGGTGAATTGATGCTCGATTTTACCATTTTTCCCCTATGCCATTCCATCTCTTTCCATGCAAACAGGTCCAATCACTCTTTGGGTTAAAGAAGTTTACCCAACGTTCTTTCTTTCTCTTTGCTTTGTTCAGGCTTTACTCCATCTATCGATAGACTGGCATTTGGAGGAGATACCTCCCTCCGAATTTTCTTACATCAAATTGCGACCAGGGTCAACCGTCACGTTCGAACATTTTCGGGATTTTTGCGACCCCCTAGCTCTCGAGGGGGTCCAGTTGCGACCCCCTGTTTTTGTTAATAAGAGTGCTAGACATGAATCCGTTGCGCCAGAAAGCGTCTGCGTCGCGTCGGCCTTGGAGCGCGGCAGGTATCACCCGGGCGCTGGAAGAACGGGACGCGGCGAAGAAAAAATTTTAGAGGGGAATAACTTTCTTGGACGTATC